AATTTTATTGAGAAACAAATAGCAATGAGACAGTTTCAAAACCAATTAGTAGGACAGTTTCAAAAATTAATACATTGCATATTGTTGTCTTCATAGTGCTTATTCATAGCACAAGATGCAGACAGGATATCCTGTCTACGCACTATTAGTACGAATCTTTCTTCTCACTGAATTAAGAGAAAGTAGCTGTATATCTCCTAGTTTATTTTCCTAACATTGTTATTTGAAGGTAAATTTTTTTCTAATAAAGTCTAACGGAGGAGTTTTTCTTTTATGGCTCATGCTATTGTATTTTTAATAACATTGCTTACCCTTAGGCTGTATAAATGTTCTTCTCTACACTTTGGACTTAGGTGTTAATGTTTAGGTCTGTGATCTGTTCTGAGGCTGCGCTGGTGTCTCAGTAGGGGTCTCCTCTTTTTGATGGTTGGTGTTGCTTCTCTTTCTCTAGGTTGTATCTGAACTTTGGTGACACCAGAAATTCCAAAGCCCTTGCTATGAGGTAGGTAGGACATGGGAGGGGACTGTGGCTTCAGCACTTCCAGTTAATTCCAGTTAAGGAGACAACTCACTCGTGAGCATTGAGGGCTTGGTTTGTGCCAAGCACTGTGACAGGCAAATGCATTCTCTAAGGCCCTTCCTGTGTGATGGACCCTCAGTCAGGCCATCTCTAGCCCTGGGGGACACTGTCCCTCCCCCCTGTAGGGAGGGACTGCAGCACACAGGAACCTGAGGATGCAGTCCTCTGCTTCCCCCAAAAGGAGGTGGACGGAAGGCTCAGCGGTTTCTACAGAAACAGGGCTCTGTAGTGCAACCTGCTGGGGAGTGACTGCAATCACACCTTTTTCTCAGTAATGCGCTGTGTAAACTTGTATATTCAGGTTCCCAAGACAACATGCTCTGCAGCAAGTCTGCTGCACGCGGTGGCCTTGATTTACCTACTGTGGCCAGTGTTGAACTCCGGCAGCTTTGTCCTTCAGGGTGCCTACCGATATACATGGGACACCACGCATCCCTGTCATCATTTAGAACATGCATGTATTCATTTCAGATGTTGGGAGGAGCTGTGAGGTCACCCACTGGGGGACAAGCAATATACATATCTGAGAAATGGGGGCTCTTTTGACAGCACACCTAAATACAAGCATCCACAATAGCTGTAATTTAATGACAGTAAAACTGGAGACTCAGGAGTTGGTTTAGTGTATTGCATGCTTTTGCTTTGAAAGTTAGAGGAATCAATTATCCTAGTTTTGCTTTTCCCATAAAAGATGCAGAAGTGGGGGATACTTTTGACCACCAATAGCGCGAGTTTTCAGATGGAAAGTAGCATTATAATTTATTTATTTTTGTGGAACCAGGGATTGAACTCAGGCCCTTGTGCTTGCCAGGCAAGCACTTATTCTACTGCACCATCTCCCCAGCCTCTTATTATTAGGAGTGCTGGTATTATTCACAATGAAGGTAGTAGCTTATCCCCTGAGCACTTTCTATGGACCGAGTCGGGCCTGTCCATCCATTGGAGACCATAGAGCCTCCGCTACTTGGCTCTTAGCTGCCCCCTCGTCTAAAGCTTTCTATGGCCAAGGGGTCCCACCCAGCACCCCAGGTCAGGCAGTTGTCTCCACACCCAGTTTTTCTGCCTTGGGAGACAACTCAGAGCCTGGCTCCGTGTCCCTCTGGCTCAAAGCCCCTCTCATCCACAGTGGATATCTTAAAATGTCCTTTTCTGCCTGCTCGCTTTCCCGTGGCACGTGCGGCACGTCTGTTTCTCTACTCTCCATAGTTTCAGGGGCTGTATCTGCATCTTTCTCATGTCCACCTCCTGCCTCAGGGCCTGTTTCTGAGGGTCCCCAACTAAGACAAGAAAAACCAGCAAAACAGAAAAACCAGAGCATATTACCTAGGAAAACAGAAAAGGCAGCCAGCGGCGCCCTCCTCATCCCCACCCCAGCCCCAATCAGCACGGAGGCGTGGATCCCGTTCTTCCAGACTTTGTTCGCTGCAGTCACCCATCTTTTTTAATTGAAAAGGAAAAGGACCACGGCTGTACTTGCACGGCCTGGGCATTCCCACCTCTAGACAGTAGCGGGCAGGGGCGCGGCTCAATAGTGTGCGCGGCCAGGGCTGCGGCTCTGTCTGTGACAGCGCCCGGCTCAGCTCTGGCGAGGTGCGTGGAAGCGGCCTCGGCCCTCAGGGTGCTCCGACCCCCCCCCCCCCCCCCAAGCAGTGACCCAGGGATTCGCGGGCAGGGCTTGACCGTGGGGTGGCGCAGGCTTGCGCTTGCTGCACAGGGCGTGCTGTCCATCCGGAGCGGGGGTGCGTGGGGTGGTGGTGGGGGGGGTGGCTCAGTGCCTTCTGGCCGGGTCACATTCCTTCCGATCTGTGTGGTTGGGGACACAGGCTTGTCACGCCGGCAGAGGGCGCTGCGCCGCAGGCCCCTCTGACGAAGCTCTTTTCCAGGTTAGTCCTCGGCCACGACGGCGACCTCGGGTTCCGGCTGCTCCGGCTCGAACTGCTGCTGAACGGCTCCACGGAAGCCGCCTTCGGGGCCCGGGCCGTGGGTGCTCCCGCCGGACGCTCCTTCCGCTGTGGCCGCGTGAGCAGCCAGCGCCCTGATGCGCTGCTGCCGCCCCTACCGCCGCCGGCGGGGTCCTGGGCACACTGGGACGTCACGCTTCGGGGCCTACAGGTGGTGCTGGGCCGGCTGGGTCCGGGGCCCTGGGGCACGGCTCACTCTTCCTCCTTCCCCTCCTCCACCTCTTCTTCCCCTCCTCCACCTTTTCTTCCCCACCTCTTCCTCTCCTCCCCCACCTCTTCCTCCTCTCCTCCACCTCTTCTTTCTCTCCCCCACTTCTTCCTCCTCTACTTCCCCTCCCATCACTTCCTCCCCTCCCCACTCTTCCTCCCCTTCCCCATCTCTTCCTCCCCTCCTCCACCTCTTCTTTCCCTCCCCACTTCCCCTCCCCATCACTTCCTCCCTTCCCCATCACTTCCTTCCCTCCCCCATCTCTTCCTTCCCTCCCCCATCTCTTCCTTCCCTTCCCCATCTGTCTTGCTACCTCCTGCCTCCTGCCCTCCATCCTTCACGCCTGCTAGCTGTAGCCCTCCTTGCAGCGGCTCGTGCCAGAGGAGCCCTGTGACACGCAGGCTGGTGCCTGGGCCGTGGCCCTCCATGGAGTTTCCCACTGACAACTCCACTTGCCCCTTCTCCATAGAGGAGCCCCCGGCTCTAGGCTGCTCATGATCGCTAATGCAGGGTCAATGCTGTGGAAGCCTCATTGCACTATAATCTTCTGGGAGTGCAAACGAGAAGTGCCGCACACATTTTAAAAATACTTCTGGTCTGCACTTACTGGGATCCTGCACTAGGGTGGGTTCCATAGCTCCGTGCTTGCAGGCACCCTGTGGAGGCCCTGCAGCACACCCTTGCAGATAAGGGGGCTACTGTGCACCCGACAGAGGCAGATAGGGGATGGCAGGAGGAAGAAGGGACAGAAGACAGTGGAGCCACAAGGCACACCCGAAAGCCCGGGGTTGAATTGCGCCGTGTGGCACTGGGCCGGGCACTTTCCTGTCTTGCGCCCTCAGCTGCATCCTCAGAGCGCAGGATGCAGCAGTGACTCACTCACAGGCTCCTGAGGGCCCTAAACATGCAAAGCAGCGTGTGCACATGCACAGGCCTCAGTGAGTGTGAGCTTCTGTTTTTCCTTCTGTTTTGCCTCTCTGGGAATCCTTATCTCTCTGTCTGCTTCCAGTTAGGAGTCGAAGGTCCAGGACCTGAGGCATAAAACTCTCTGGAACTTACAGCGTTCAGAGCTGGGGGACACCACAGCCATTAGGGTTCTACAGCAAGTAGACTATCCCTAGAACCAGATGAGAGGAGCTTTTATTTCAGAGCCTCAGATTTCCTGAGCCCCTTAACTATGGCAGCCATAGGTCATAGTTTGGGGGTCTGTCCGGATTTAAAATCAAGTTTCCCAGTCCCTGTCAGCACCATCGTGTTTGTCAGATCATGTACTTTGATTGTGCACCGCGTGTGCTGAGAACAAATTAAATGAAACCTATCGGGGGCCCAGAGCCCTCACTCTAGATGGAAGTGGCCCTGCAGAGGGAAGGGGTCACACCAGCCTTCTGTCTCTCCTGACAGCTCCAAGGCTTTGCCATCCAGGGTGGCCAGTTTGCCAAGGCCCGAGACTGTGCCACCTCCACCTCCTCACCGGCTGTCCTCCTCGGCCTGGCCATGGCCCTTGTCCTGCTGCTGGTGCTGGCCTATGCCCTGCACATGCTCATCTACCTGCGCCACCTGGACCAGCACTATGAGAGTGTCGCCTCCCCGTTGCACTTCCCCCAGCTGTGGGCTTGCAGTGGCACTGAGGGGAAGGAACTGCTCCGGAGCCAGGCCCCTGAGTGCTACGAGCTGCAGGGCCAGCAGAACTACAGGATCTACGTCTGACCTCTGACGTCTGCCTCCCATCCTGTCCTGTCCACAGCAGCCCCGGGCAGCATCTCCTCCCTGTGCTGTTGGACTTGTGAATGGCCTGGTTAAAACAAATAAAAATCAGTAAAGGAGATGCGTAGGGAGTTGGTCTTGCAGCCTCCGCTGGCTGGCTCAGCCAGACAGGGGCAATGAGAAGGTAAGACAGGGGTGCTGCCCACACAGTGAACAGACTGTGTTTCTGGTTAGCAGAAGGGGAGCAGGGAGGAAGGGGTGAAGACAAAGGAAAACCTACCGGGTTGGTCTTGTCTGACTGAGTGGATGTGGTAAGGACAGAAATAATCCAAGGTTATCTGCAAGTTCAGAATGGAATCTATTTTGTGATGTGCTTTGCCTACTATCAGAAATTGGGTCCCAATTTTTGATAGAAATTGCCCACTCACTTTCATTGAGCTGTGAGGGCCAACTCCCTTCAACATGCTAGAGCACCTGGTGAGGGCTCTTCCTGTCACCCCTTGTGCTTCAGAAGCCCCTCAAACCTGCATTGTAGGGAGAGCCTCAGCCACATCTTAGCCCTCCTAAAACTCTTCTGAATATACTTGGCACATCATGGAGCTCAGCAGGAATAGCTTCACCAACAGCCTGAGGTGAGGGCTTTAATCTCACTTGAGGAGACTCACCCAGAATCCTTTGCAATTCATGGTAGATACTGAAGATGATAGACTTGCTGTCCATCTCACAAAAGCCTCTCATTCTCTCTTTGTTGGAAGGTGTGTGATACGGACAGCAGTGTTGGAGCAGAGCACTCTTGTGTTGAATGTTTCTTTTGCTGCATCAGTGTTGGCTGGGAATGCTATAGTTTGCAACTAAGAATTCCTGATTCATGCAGATGTTGGTACCAAGATGACTGTAGGCAACAGACCCAAGAAAGGGGGATCTAGGATTGATGAGCTGATCCTTTTGCCTTCAGAGCAGTGGAAACTCCGTTAGCATTAGACACTGGTCTACCACTGGCCCATGCCATTCAGCAGTGAGATTTTCACTGCTGTTGCCTAGGGTGTCCAAGTGGAGGTTGGTATAGATAGGTGGTGCCAGTGTAGAAGTGTAATCTAATTTTTAAACTAGTATACTTTTGAAAGTGAATACCATTATAGAACCATAAATGTGGGTATTGCCAGACAAACTGGGATGGATGGATAGATAGACAAATGGATGGATAGACAGGAAGATAGATGATAGGCAGGTAGTAGGTAGGTAGGTAGGTAGGTAGGTAGAGGCAGCTTAGGCACAGGTGACCCATGACCCGCCATGGGCTAACCTGGTGTTTCTGATTGCACTGGGTAGTTTACAAAAAGGAAATAGTAACTTAAGCTTTTAAATTCATGTTCAAACATCTGGGGAGTTTTTCTAACTGACCTAAGTGGGGTTTCTGGCCTCCTGTCAAAAGGCTGACCTAGAAATGAAGCCCTGCAATAGGCTGACCCTACAGCATGCTGAGCTGCAGTGTAGGTGGAATTTACACCTTGTCACATTTCTTATTGCGAGCAAGAGGACCTTGATGACCACACAGAGAGTTTGAGGAAAGGAATGGCAGCTTTTAGAGAGATTTCGATAACCAGGAATACTGCTTTCTTAAACTCCAAGATGTTTTCTTGGTAGCAAAGCCAACCCCTGCAAGGCAACACTGTTTCTGTCTCACTTGAAGACCCTGTGGCAACCTCACTGGTTGTAGTAAGTCTTTCTGACTGTAGTCACCTGGCCAAGTGTGCCACAGGGGCACTGAGGCACCACAGGGAAGACATAGAGGGAGAAAAAGTGGTGTCCCAGCAATGGGAGGGGGGACAAGACCCGCAAGATGCAGGGAGTAGTCAGGCGAGTCAAATGCTAGAGCGAGATCGAGTTAGAAAAGAACCAAACATTGTGTATTTCTTAGACTTTGCCAACGGGAAGCCGCTGATGAGCAGCAGGCTCTTTGGAAAAGAGGGAGAAGACGTGGTTCAGGCATCAGTTCCCCTAGTTTTCTCCCAGAGGGTGTGCAAGGAGAGCTTACCCGGCTTCTCCGAGGCCATGGGTCTTGGAGAACAGTGGCTTCCATGTGACCTCTCCGTCTGTGACCCTCTTCTGTCCTTCAGGGTGCAAGGATGGTGGCCACTCTGCTGCTCCCAGCTCCAGTTTGCTGCACCCCTTCGGGCTGTCCTGTACCCCACCAGGGCCTTAGTGAGAGGCCCTTTTCAGAGGAAACCTTCCTTAAGTGACCTAACCTAAAGGTGCCTGTTTCCTTCAGAACAGAGGTTTATACAGAGGCTCATACAAATTAAACTTTTCATGATGCCCTTATGGTTTTATATCTAGAAATTGTAAGGGCTGGCCAAATAGCTTAGCAGATTAAAGTGCCTGCAAGCAGGTACAGGGGCCGGGGGTTCGATCCTCGGGCCTGCTGTGCCTTCCCTGCCCCCAGGGCACACTGAAATGACAATTGAGACTGGGCATGGCGGTGTACCTGTAATCCCAGCTCTTGGGAGGCTGTAAACAGGTGGATCACTACTAGTCCTATCTAGTAGCGAGACCCTGAACACCCTCTAGACCTGTCCTTGAAAAAAAAAAGGGTATGATTTTTTGAGAAAGGATTTAATAACAAAAGTTGAGCATGTTCTAAGGTAACATCGTTCTGGATTTTTTTGCTTGTACCTGTTTTGCGTGCTGCAGGGTGTAAAGCATAACCGCCCCATCCACAGCACACTCCTGTGTTGTTACCTGCATCTCATTCTTCAGGGCTCTGCAGCTCTCTGTTCCTCTGCAATGGCTGCTCCATAGACAGTCACAGATAGCAGAGAGAAACCACAGGCTCCGGGCAGTCCTCAGCTGGTGCACAGGTTTTCTGACCTAAATGAACATGACATCAGAATGTGACAGCGATTTTGTAGGCGTAATCTCTGACCGAAGCACACAGCATGAGGCGTCACTGCTCACGCACGGCATGGAGACCCCTCCCCCCGCTGCTTTTGCAGCTGGAGCTCCTCCGCTGGAGGGAAGGAGCCAGGAAATAGGGAAGGGTGAAAAAGTGACCTCCTCTCAGAGCGAGGGGAAAGCGGCTGCAGCTGCGTCCTCAGCAAAACCTTGGTGTGACGGAATTGCGTTCTTGCTGTGACAGTGGAGAAGCCACTTCCTCAGTGGCCACGTGGCGGAGGCCACCACCTCAGCGCAGAGAAAGAACAGCTGCCGCTCTGCATCTAGCCAAGCCTCCCGCCTCAGAGGTTAAAGAGTGAGATGAGGGAATGATCCGTCCTGTGCCGTCCTTTGCAGAACCGGCCTGTGTGTCGGACCTCTGTCTGTACCGGCAACTCGCAGCACCCTGAGGTGCTTTTACGTCCTGACACCAACATTTCTAAGGAGAAGATAGTACCGGAGTAAAAGCTCTGGCTCCTCACAGAATTTTTAAAATGTAGTTTGGATCTTCTGATATTTATTTTTGTTAAAGAAAAATTAGGACAAATACAAGTGGCCACCTTCAGTAGTTACAACAGTTTACTCTTTTACAAGATGTGTAATTCCGACCCTGGATACTTGGATGTCACCAAATTCTCTGGCCTTACGGAAGCAACCTGTGATTTTCTTTCCTAGCAGAGTGACTTGGGTCCCTTTAGTGTGAGCAGTGAGTCCACTCCCCCACTGCTGAGCCCCCCGCAGGTAGGTGGGAGGCGGGCCTGGGTGGCAGTGACCCGCATTCCTGTTTCTCCCAGGTCTGATTTGGATGCTGCTAGGTTTCCATCACTTCTGGGTCCTCCTCTCCTCCCGTTGTTCAGCTTGTGGGCAGGGGCATCATGGGAAAGTTGGTAATCACAGCGCTGGGCAGGAAGCCGTCCGCATTCTCCCATTATGGAAGCCTAACACCTTTTCCCCGTTACGTGCCATTTCCCGTTATGTTTCACTTTTGGCCTTGAATTTTTACCATCTTGGGCCTTGCCTTTTTGTTCCTCTAAGTCTTTTACTCAGGTCTCTAGAATCATAGACCTACAAGCCTTCTCTTCCCAACCTACAATGATGGATTTGACACTGTTATGTAGAGCAGTTTCATTCTTTATTAGAATTCTTTTTTAAACAAATACCTTCATTTTTTTTTATTTAAAAAGAGTACAAAATGGTAAAAAAAGAGAAATGATAAAAAATTTTTATTAAAGTAATAGGAATTCAACAATGGTTGTTGCAATGCATAATGTTGTGGAGGTTGGACCTAAGAATATCATCTTTCACAGCCAAATGCCCAAAATATGATATTATTTTCATAAAGCCTTTCTTCATAAGGATTTTCTAGTTACCCAGCCCAAACCAAAGCCAGGTCTAAAATAACAGCTCTTCATCTATTAATTAATCTTCATCTTTCTCCCAACCATCAACCCACCCACCTGTCCATCCATCCACCCACCCATCCATTCACTTATCCATCTATCCTGTTATATATAAATGAATATGATTTTACCACATTAAAAAACATAAAAGATGCTTAAAGGTCTATCACCTTAGGTTATGAATAATCCATATTAACTCTTGATGTAGAAGCTATCATAGAAAACCTTAGAAATATAAAGAATATTTTTGTTCTTTACAAAATATTTTGCTGTAGAGTCTCATTATTATAGTTTTTGGTTAAGGAGCTAAGATTTATTTCCAACAATAATAAAGTGTTTCCTAAAGTGTTCCAGTGCTATTATAGTAAATGTTTTCTAAATTTTTTTCCTACCAGTGGAATCATCTTGGATAAAACTGATCACTGGGCTTAAAAATTTATTGTCACATTTATGTGAGGCATTGAACATGAAAACTTACTTAATCTTTTCTAATTCTTCTCCTCAGGCAAGAAGCATTTCCATTCCTGCCTCAGTGAGACATTCTAGTGAGGCCAGAGATGTATTTGTGTGTCACTAATATTTTTTGCTCTGTCCAGTGTCCAGGAAAATATGCTTATAGAGATTTTGACAAGTGTTCCAAGTGTAGCTAGCCTTCAGCCCTTTCCTTTGGCTCCTGGACCCTTCATTCTTTCTCTCTTCTTCTTGAGGATGTGCATATTCCAAGGCTGAGCCAGATTTTCCCTTGCACTTTCCTTCTTACAGTGATATTTTCTCAATGTAAACTAGGACGAGGACTCACTTAGCTGGGTTCACTGCATGCTTATATGTCTTGTGATCAGAATGTGGACTGTGCTGACCTCCTCTGCCCACCAGGTGTTTGCATCTTTTTTGTCCTCCAGCTGCAAAAGGAGTGTCTGGTTAAGAACAGGGAAGTCAGCGCTGAGCTGACCTCAAATGCAGGACTCTATAGGAGGAGATGCAGTTTCGAAGCACACA